ATCATTCATATGGTTTTGGGCCCATTCTATACGTTTCTGCTTATGCAACCTTGTAAGCATCGGGGTTGCAATGGGTCACTTCTTATCATAGCCAAGGTTGGTTAAGTGCCGCAAAAATGTACTGTAGGACACGTTTACACCCTTTAGCGACAATTTGGACGCTAATTTTCTAGAAGAAACTGCTGGATTTCTTCTAATATACTGCCCAAGAGCTTTTGAGCTCTCTGAAGTGATTTTTTGGGGGAGACCGGGGCGTTTTTTGTGGATGATGCTTCCGGTTTTTTTCAATTTTGCCAAGTTTAAATATATTGTGGACCTTGGTATATTTGTTCTACGTCTTATTTCGGCTGCATTCGTAATCCCAGAATTCCACAAATGTTGAATGGATTGAGCCTGCGCAGTCTTGTTGTCAGTCTTCATTTCGTCGCTAAATTAAAAAAAAATTTTTCTAAGACAAAGTTGACAATTAAAACGCCAATTGATTGTCCAGATGCTGTATTTTAAGTGTTTAAAATTTAACTCAATTTGGATTTAAATTGGCTGATCTATGTGACTTTTAATTTTATCACTGATCGTCCAAAGTATATTTTATATTGTCTGTCTTGATTAATATTCCACTTACGAAAATAAAATTCGAATCATCTCATCAAGAAGAAGCTAATAAGCTAAATATCTTTAAATTCCGATCATTAATTGTAATGATATAGTTTGTTAAAGTTGATTTAAGGGATTGGATAGATAACAAGTATAGCTCAGGGTGCGCGTAAGTTTGTTAGACGAAACCAAAGATGATAGGATACTTTTCGGCTTTTATCATCCATTTTGCTGATGGTGCTACACTTGATAAAATATAGAAATGATAATGAATCGTTCTAATTATACGATAAAATATGATAAAATCATTGTTCAAGAATGATAAAAGTTTGTTCAAAAATGATAACGAATCGTTCTAATTAAATGATAAAACATTATTTAAGAATGATAAAACCATGGTTCAAGAATAATAAAACATCATTCTTAAGCGATAAAACTATCGTTCAAGAATGTGATTAGTTGACCTAAATTTTGTCAAGTCAGGTCAGGTTAGGTTGACCTGTTGACCTGACCTGACATCAAATTAAATATCTATTTACCTAACCTGGATTTTCAGGTCAGGTCAGATAAACAGATCGACCTGACCTGATTTAGAGCTCTACTTTAGACAAAATCTGAATCAGATACGAGTCCATTTGAAATTGTGATATCTGAAGTTGAACTTCAGATAGAATCTGAATTTAGATATAAAGCAATCTGAAATTAAGATATTTGAAATTGAACTTCCGATAGAACCTGAATTTCATACACGAGACCGTATAAAATTGAAATATCTGAAATTGAACTTCATATAAATCTGAATATTATACAAGTTATATATTTATAAATTAAAATTAAAGTAATATGATGTATTTATAATCTACATATACTATACATAAACGATAATAAAATAAAATAGAAAGTAAAAAAAAAAAAGAAAAAAAAACGAAAGGAAAAGAAAACCTACATTAAGCAGCAGCTCGAATGTGAACAAAATCCTAAAAAAAAAATAAAAAATAAACGATAAATAAAAAAGAAAAGAAAAATAATATCCTTAAAAAAAAAGAAAAAAAAGAAAATAAAATTGGAAATTTAATGCTACAAAATTTAATAAATAAATGCCGCGAAATTTTAAATTATAATTCGGCTAAAAGCTAAAATTCTGAAATGTAAAATTTTAAAGTTAACTTTACGAAATTGTAAAAAAATTGGCATATTGTGATTGGTTAAAATAGTTTTTTATAAGTTGTCTGAAATTGGAATCAAGACACGAAGATCGTCTGAATTCCAATTTCAATTTCAGTCACAACAATAATTTAACCCGCGCTTTTTCAGGTAAAGTGACAAGTTATTTCATCCTTCTCTTCAAACTAGTAACGTATCATAAAGTTTTATTTTTTGATTTTACTTCTTTGACTTACTGTGCATAATAGATTATTTTTTTCTAGTATGATGAATTCTTTATATATCAACCTTTAATTACTAGATAATTTTTATTCTCACAATTGTATAATCAAATTAATAATATACTACTAAATTCTGCTACACACGAGCAGATTCTGTTCTCAATAGTAATTCTTAATAACAACATGAACAGGATTTACAAGACTGTAACGATAAATCATTTTTATTTATAAGTGTAGGAGGTATAAATTTTCCTGGATAAGAAATCCTGCAAAAAAAATCTATAAGTAAAAAATATTAAGTTGATCAAAAGTCATTGTTGCGCTAAAATTTCAGCCCCATCTTTTATCTTTAAATTATCTATTTACATAACATAAAACTAATTAAAATTATCCTATAAGAAAATTTTTTGACATAGTTATCATATATAACTGTATATTTAAGAATTAAAAATCTGTAGATAATCATAAACGCTTTTAAATGATGATTAAAAATGACTTTGTGAAAGTAATTCAGGAAAACACAACAACCTGCTTTCGTAAACAGCTTCGGGATGGTTTCTTTCCCGACGAAATTTATTTTTTAAACCCGAAATTTTTTTCTCTTTCACAGTAACAGATTTTTCGGTTAATTTAGATATTATAAAGTTATCGATAACATTTATCCAAAAACCCAGTAATTCATATAATTCAGATGCCGTTGGACGACTTGAAGGATCAGGATGCCAACATTTCGTCATTAAATGAAAGTAAAAATCTGGAGTTCCGTCAATAATTTCAGGACGAAGACCAGAACAAATTTCAGTAGCTAATTCAAGATCATGTGGCCTATTGCACCATGGACGAACACCAGAAGAAAGTGTCCACATAATAAGACCAAAACTAAAAATATCTGAGGACTTTGTCGGTGGATTTCCGTGTAAGATTTCAGGAGCGATAAAAGGAAGGACTCCATATATCTCATTTGAATTTCTCGAATCAAGCGAAAAGTATGGTTCAATATCTGGGATATAAACGTTTTCAACTGAACCATTTTCAACTTCAACCAATATTTCACCTCCATGAAGATTTCCATGAATTAATCCCTTTTCATGAAAGTCGATTATTCTTCCCAATATCTGCCATAGCATTACAATGGTACCTTTCCAATAATGGTTTCCTTGAGTTTCATCAATATATGAATATAAATCCCGATTTTCATAATACTCATAATATTTCATAACGAACATGTAATTTGAATTATAATCTTTAGTTACTCCATAAAAGTTTTCACCGTTCTCACATTGGTGATATTTATAAAGCTTCATTTAAAATTAATTAAATGTTAGTTATTATCTCTAAAAGACAAATATTTAAATAAATAATTTCGAATAAAGGTTGTCATAACTTACTTGCTTTAAGTAATCTTCACGCATATATGGTGCATTATTAATTTTTTTTAGAGCAACTTTTGTGGGTCCATTTCGTGACCAAATTTCAGCGTCTTTTTCCCATAACCATCGGGGTCCTTCTATCCAAATTGCTGAGTAAATTGTGCTGGCGGCATCCCTTTTATTTGCTTTTTCCACAAATTCTAGTTTTTCAAAATCAATATATTCTAAATAATCCACAATCCCAGTTGCATTTGATTGTGTGTATTGGATAAAATTATCAATGTCAAGGTTACCACTTGTCCATTTTCTAAAATTTTCTTTTAAGGCGCTAATTTCGCAATCTTTGCACCATTCTACATCGCTTCTTTCTTTCCCACAATCTAAACATATTCCAAATATTGAATGGGGTTTCCTTATTAACTTACTTACCATATAATCATCTTGTTGGGAGGACATGTATGATTTAAAATGTCTACGAAAAGGATCATTTAATGGTTTTTTATAGTTACACGAAAATGAACCAATTATTACATTACCTTGTTTTGTTCGGTGCACGATAAATCGGGACGAACGAATAAATTTAAATGAAAAGGCGTATCGAGAATTTGACAACGGAAGGGTAGAAGATAATGATAAATAAATTACTGCTCGATTTTTCAAATAAGATAAATTTCAAGCCTTTAAATAATTTCTGGTCTTTTTTTGCACAAAACCGTTTTGCCGTTATTTCCGACTGTATTAATGCAGATAATCAACTGACTATCACCTTTATAGTTAGCGATTTTCAAAAAAGACTATAATTTCATCTAAAAATTCTTCCGTTCACTCTTACATCGTTCGGGAAAATTCGGATAACAATGGATGAAATGTGCGACATATCTTTTTATAGTAGTTAAATCACGGAGCGTTGTTAAATGATTTTATGAAATAACTGACTTTTTTCACGGTCTTACGCTTTTTGACGTGATTGATTGATGTTATATAAGTAATTTGCATTTCAAAACTTTCCAACGATCAATAATAATTTTATTCTTTAGATTCTTTATGTAATAAATACGAAAGAAATTTATTAAAAATTTTACAACAGATGTTAAAATATCAGAATTATCTTTTTTTTTATTTTTATATTTAAAATTTTTTCAGAACTTAATAATTAAATCAAATACCCAAAGTATGGACGGACCTAATCCAAAATTATTGAACCGTGATCATGAATGAAGTTGTCCAAATATTTTGGCAGATTGGTGTCACGAGCATATGATTCGAATATTATTATTAATAATATGTACAACTTTATAGAATTGGTTAGTTTTAGGTCATTTGATATTTTATTTAAAAATTAGTT